TGCCTGCACGGCGACCTCTAAGCATGCTGGAAAAGCCCCTTCCCCTTCTCCCCACGCCCCGGCCCTGTGACAGACAAAGACAGTGTCACACACGCCTCCTTATCCCCGAATCACTGGTGACAGGCTGAAAACCAGCAACGCTCAGTATGTTTTCCCATCTCTTGCCTGTGTAGAAGCCTCGTGCAGCCCAGCTCCAGCTGCGCATCGATCTCGGATGAGCAATAGAAGAGCAAGCCCATTAGGAAAAACAAGTTGATGAATTAAAAGATCCAAGTTAAATAAAATGTTCCAGGCCCCCAGGCTACAGCAGAAAAAAGGGTACAGGCAGAGTGCGAGTACAGCTCACCAGCCCCTCCGGCCTCGCTCCGAGGGACCGCGCTGTTTGGCAGAGCATGGCCGGCAGGCTTGGTGCTCGTCAGGAGAGGTTTGGATCCTGCTCCCATGGGCTGGCCATCTAGTCAGCTGGGACTCTGCAGCCGTACTGCAGCAACTGAGGTGGAAAGGGACCTCTGGAGATCACCTAGTCCGACCGCCCTGCCCAAACAAGGCCAGCTGGAGCAGGCAGCCCAGGACTGTGTCCAGCTGGGTCTTCATCCTCTCCAAGCATCTTCCACACCCCCTCTGGGCAACCTGCTCCAGTGCTTTACAACTTTCACAGGGGGGGAAAAAAAAAAAAAAAGAAAAAGCCTTTTTTCTGATGTTTAAAGAGAATTTCCTGTGTTTCAGTTTGTACCAATTGTCCCCTGTCATGTCAGTGGACACCGCTGAGAAGAGCCTGGCTCCCCCCTCCCTACTCCACCCCCAGAGGTATTTATGCACAGCGGTGAGATCCCCCGAGCCCCCTCTTGCACAGATCTGCTCTTTCTTCACCTCTTCCTCCCTTTCTCACCTCATTTCCTTGAGCCCAAACATCCCTCCAAACATAACACTGAGTAAACAACGGTTTCCTCTCCCTGGAACAATGGGAGCGTTTTTCCCACTAAAATGGCCGGCACACCAGGCTGCTCCTGGAGGACACGGGAAGCAGAAAAGCCTCACCTTGCCACAAAAGACTTCCTCAAAACATCTCCGTGTCCTCCCCCTTGCCTGTGGCAAGACCCAGCTCCCTCCTCCAAGAGCAGAGAGGAGGATAAGCCTCCCTGGAGACCGCCAGTGGCCACGAGGCCATCTGGATGGCCAGAACCCACCTCCATCCCTGCTGTGGGCAGAAACCCTCCGTGGGAGCGTGCGTGTGGAGCCTGAGGAGAGGTCAACCGCGTGAAGGGCCAATCCCACCACCCACATAGGGGAGGAGGAGGAGGGCAGCAGCTGCCTCGCCTCCACGTGTGCCCTCGGTGGCTGCCACCCACAGCACGCTCCTGCAGGCACTCCTGGGGACTCAGGGGACTTGCTTGGGGAAGCAGAGCCACTGGGCCTTGGAGGATGAGCTGTGCAGGTGAGCCCGAACATTTGGGGAAAGAAGCAGGAAAATAAGTGCTTTGATCCCCACAGTTGCTGTTGTTGAACTCCGAGAACGTGCCCGTTGCCAGCCCGGTGGCGGGACAGCGGTGGCAGCATACCTGGGGGACGAAGATGAAGCAGTTGATTGTGGTCGTACACACGAAGATGCCTCCGGAGGTAAAACCGAACAGCAAGTTGTGCCAAGCGCGGAAGAAGCGGTGAACTAAGCAGACAGTACCGGCAGCCAGGAAAACGAGGTTGACCCCAACGATGAGCGTCAAGGACTGGTTGACTGGCGGGGAGCTGACGTTGTCGGTCAGACCAGCCAAGTAGGTCCCATACAGCAGCAGGATACTCTGGAAGCAGAAAAAAGGTTTCCAGAGCGTGGAAAATTACAGCCTGATGGTGTCAACCCCGACCTCGCACCGAGCCCAGTGAGCTCAGATACACTCAGCGCAACCCTAATTAACGCTCTTTGATCTGTAACGCAGACCTTCAGCGCGCGCTGGTGACGCCGCAGCGAACACCCGGCGTGCTGCTGCCCGTCAGCAGTGGGGCTGGGGGGCAGGCGCCGGTGGGCCCTGGGCATCCCCAACAAGGGGCACAGGCGATGCCACGGGCGATGCAGCGGGGCAGGGCATGGCCAGGAGAGGCAAGACGTGAAAACCTCCCCTTGGGCAGATGGAGAGCCAAGAGATGGCGGTCCCTGCGGGGATGCAGCGGTGGGGTGCCATCAAGGAGCAGCAACACCCCTGAGGGAGCAGGAAGGAGATTCAGAAGGACATTCAGAAGGAAAAAGCAAGGCAGAAGTGGAGGTTTAGAGTGGAGGGAAGAGGATGTACTTGGTGCCTCTTTAAATAGAAATCCAGGAAACTGCCGGGTACAATTCTTCTCTCTTCCCTTCGCTGTTTCCTGCCTGACTCCAGCAGCAATGAAAGGGGCTACAGGAGTGCTCTGTACGCAGAGGCCCTCCCTCCCCCTGAGCACATCGGTTGTCTCAAAGCAGGCTTCCTCACCCTGCTGACCCTCAAGTGTCCCACGCCTGCATCTCCCCAGCGTGCCGGGATTAAACTACCCGGCAGGCTGAACCCCTCCTTCCCCTGGGTGCACTGGCAGGAAGCACCAAGTATTTTGTTGCCCACCTCTGTAGCACAGGGCATGGTCTTCCTTCAGGATCGTTTGGAAATACCATCTAACAAAATCCTGGCTCCTGCAAGGACCCAGAATACAGGGAAGTTGACTTCTGCATTACTCCTGTGCTACCCAGTAAGTGCAACTGTCGGCTTTTTACTGAGATATTAAATTGTTATTTGGACGTCAAGAAGTGCTTTGTGGACCGTGGTGCAGGTGTAGACCCTTCTGGACCCCTCCGTGCTGTGGCTGCTTGATGACCGCGATGGCCACTGCCAGAGTTAGGCTCTGGAGCGACAGTCTTACGGGCAAGAGAGGTTCACATCCACGGTCTTCAGTGAGACTCCCAACTTCAGAGCACCCTGGATTCTCAAGCAGAGGGTGGTAATAGCAAGACCTGCCTCGCTGGGAACTAGGCTGACACCTGACCGTGCTTCATAGGATCTGCACTGGATCATAACCTCCACACATGACCCAGAGGCAAGCCAACCCCTAATCCCTGAGCAAGAAAAAAATGCAGCACCCAAGTGCCATTTATCATACAGTCTGTCTGGGACTCAGACAACAGCACTGCTGTCTAGTAAACCACGACTTCCAGTCAGCACGGGACTAAGTTTGCTGTTTGTTTGTTTGTTTTAATCTTGAGCGAAGGACTTTGCTCCTAATTCCAGGCATGTCCTTGGCAAGTCGTTTCCGTTCATTGCTCTGTGCCAGTAAAACCAGGATAATACACTGAGCAGCTTCACAAAGGGCTGAGCACATTAGCGCTGTGGAAGATAAAGAAGTGCTACGTACACGCAGAGATAGAGCCTACTCTCACATTAGTGTAAGTCCAGATTAACTCCGGAGAAACCAATAAAGAAATAACTCCGTGACCCTCGTAGGTAGATAGGATCAGGGTCAGGTCCAACGCAACGCTAACGAAGACTACCTGGGACTGGTAATGGGGATGTTTTATGCAGTTTGTAGGAGCTGTAGGCAAAAGCACTACCTGGCTAAGCCCTAACACAGCCTGCGGACAAAATCAGAGGTGAGGACACAGCACGGAAAGCCCAGGCAGCGCCTGCACCTGCAATCCCTGCAATCAGGTTGCCCGGAGAAGCTGTGGATGCCCCATCCCTGGATGTCTTCAAGGCCAGGCTGGATGAGGCTTGGAGCAACCTGGTCTAGTGGAAGGTGTCCCTGCCCATGGCAGGGGGGTTGGAACTCGATGGGCTTTAAGGTCCCTTCCAACCCAAACCATTCTCCGATTCTATGATTCCATGATCCCTAGCACCACAGGACTTTTAAGGGCAGGCTAGACTAATGTCTTTAAAATGAAGTGTAGGGGGGAGAAGGACTTGTCCATGTCATGAGGCCTCTGTCTGCTCTTTTTCCTACGATTCTGGGTAGATGGTCAATGAGTATTATATTACAGTGAGTCAGAAAGGAACTGCCTGTACTGCATGCAGAGATGGAGCCCTTCCCAAAGAAAGGCTGTGATCTCACAAGCTTCATCAACATCGGCTTTCTGAAATGCGTCCAGCCGCTGCCAACCCAGAGACACATGAGACCGCAGATAATTACAGCGGTAATTATACCTGCATAGTTACATCAGTATAACTAACTCTTCTGGAAGAAGAACAGCCACGTGCAAAACGACACCAGTGAAAATGTACCGCAGCGGTGTAATTAAGCTGATAGACATCCTGTAAAGGTAGGCACCGAGCACCTGGCATCAGCACCTCCTTGATCTGGAGTCAGAGGACGCGGGGGCTGAGCCACATCGGGCATCGCTGTGGTGGCCGGTCCCCTGGGGCTTCATGGAAAAAGCGTGCTTCGGAAAACACTAAGGCACAAGTTTCGAAAGGGAGACAGATGAGGGGGGGGAGTTGCAAGGAGGGAAATAGAGAGACAGGATGTGCATGGTGTACACAAAAGAGATGGGTGAGGCAGGGGAAAAGTGGCTAGAGGGGCTTTTACAAAGAAATGCAAGAAAGCATCAAGGTGGGAAGGACTTTTGAGATAAACAGGAGTAGCCATAACCTGCAGTAGGCATGTAGCTTGGGAAAGCAGCAAAACTAGGAATCACGTTAAACAGTTTAGGCTGCGAGACTGGGAGGAGGTGAGATAGCACAAGAATCAACAAAGAGTTTACATACCTTAAACCCTAAAATGAGAACGAGCCAAAGATCGGAATAGAGAGATGCGCAGGACTGCACCCGGCTCACGGAGCAGGTCATGCCTTTCTCTGTCGCCTAGGAGGCAAGGGGAAGGCAGAAGTGAAGCCTCCTGCCCCGGCCCGGGAGCAGGCACAGACCGATGGGCAGGCAGGGGTACACATCTGAGCAGGTCTCCCCTGTACATTCCTAACAGGAAAGGCCAATGCTCTGCTGCCAGGAGCAGAGGGTTAAAGCGAGGAAGATTTTGGTACTCTGCTGTCAACATGGCTGTTAAACCTTTCTCTAAAACATCCACAGCTGCCATGGACCTCTCCTGTGTCACCCAGGTGACCTGCACACACCTGGAAATTTTGCAGCGGAGCATCATCTCTATAATAAACCAGACACAAACCCAACCCAGTGCACCCAGAAGACTTTCTGGCTTGTTTTTCTTCCCGTTTTGATTTTTAAACAGCACCTCCAAACGCCTAACCATCCACCAACTTTGTCCACAGACATCAGACAGGACAAGGCGCAACCCTTCCCAGCCCCTCCTCATCTCTTTACCCGCAGTGAGACGCTAAGGCTTCGGAAACATTGGACTGGATCAGAGAATACCCATGTCAAGAGCAACACGGCATCTGCCAGCACCAACACTGCCACCATCGCCAGCAACTGGAGGTCTTTGATAATCTGCAAACACACAAGAAGTAAGCGTTACCGGGGCGGGGGGCGAATGGACACCAATAACCTCCAACCCCTTGGGTCTCTTTTCGTTGTTTCTTCCAAAGGACATGCCCATCCTAATGCCTCCCCCAGAGCGGAGTCCAGCAGCTCACCTACATCTGAGTTGGCCACAGGATCTCTGTCTCAGCTCCCAGATTCTTGGTGACCTAATCAGGCTTGGGGACAGGTATAAACCCGCCCCAACGGTGTGGCTAGCTGGTAAATGCCATGACAGAAAACAGCCCTTCCAAGAGCATCATCCCTTAAGCCCATACCACAAGCAGAGACAAAAAAAGGTGTGGAAAAAAACACAGCAAGATTACCATTTTGCTAGCTTAATACAGATCCTGGTGCCTCAGGAATGGGAGTCTTTCCCAGTACCCAGTTCCCTTGCAAACCCTCTTGTCTCACCTTCCATCTGAGACCTACTTTTTTCACTGTTGGACAGCGGCCACCAAAAGCTCTAAGTGCAGTGTTATGTGCACAGATTTATAGAAGTGGCGCCCATTCCCCTTCTGGCTGCTGTACCCCCTTCTTTCAGTGCTGCAGAGGAGTACCCAGTGCACTCTCCCTCCACCTGGGAACAGCCCTGCATCAGACACCCTTGAGGGTACCTGTTTTTTTCCAGCCCAGAGCTGGGCGCAAACACCAGTGTGTAGCAGAACGAAGGCCCGCGGGCAATGTAAAACGAGAACAAGACCTCGCTCGATGCTGGAGCTGGGACTCCACCCGGGAACAGGCAGCCTGGCAGGGCACACGACTGCCTGTAGAGTGGGAACCCTCCCGCCCCACTGCACAGAATAAACGAGGAGCCCATGCCCAGCTAGGTGTGAAAGCAGACTTGTCACCGTGGCACCCATCCCTGCCATGTGCCGGTTTATCTACCATCCCGCCTCGGTTTGGAACTTGCTGGTGCTCATCCCCCTTGGGGAGTCTGACACCCCCCTGCCAACCCCTCCAGGTGCTGTGTACTCACCACCCGCTTGTCCGGCACCCGCTGGGTAAAGACCTTGTAGAGCCGCCAGCTTTTCCCCAGGACGGGGCCAAACACCAGGGAGGTGCCCACACACAACAGGCAGAGCCGCACCTGCCGGGGGGGTAGAGCGAGGGGGCTGAGGGGACAGCCGTGGGGATCGCAGGGACACCCCGCACCCTCCCACCCAGGGATGCGATACAGATGGGTGGGGATGTGTCTCTGGTTTTCTGGAGGGGCACATCGGACACTAGAAGGCCGAGAGCTGGGTGAAACAAATGAAGGCTTCCTGCTGCCTGCCCTTTCCTCCTCACCCTGAGAGGCTCCCATCGGAGCAGCAGGCAGGAAGAGCTAGGCAGCTTGCAAGCAGCAGGGGCACGGAGGGGCCCAGCACCAATAAATCACTTGCTGGCACATCCATTAATTACCCTCTGCCCGGTGGTGGAGCAGGACAGCAGAATGTGCTGTCTCCTGCATCCCACTCCCCACCCGGGTCCGTGCCCAGTCCCCAGTCTGGCAGGGTTCATCACACAGTGTTTTGATGAAGATCTGCTTTGCAGCCCAAAACCTTGCCTGCAGCCTCATGGCACCTGTGCACACGTGTGTGCACGTCTGCTTGTGTAGGCACCTGTCCCAGCACATCCCCCCGCTCACCTGAATAAGCTTTTCTACTGAGTCTCCGGACAGCAGGCTCTGCTCCTGAATCCCAAAGAGGTAAGCACTAGTGTAGGTCAAGCCACTGCCCAGCAGAGTCACGATGTTCAGATTGGGGCTGGACATCTTCACGATCCTCCGGGAAACAAAGCAGGGAAGGCGGTGACAGTTACTGAGCATCCTGACCTGGCAGCGCAGGGGCAAGGTCCTCTTACAGGGATGATGCTGGCCATAAGGGATGCAGAGACATTGCTTTGCATCCTGTCCCACACCCCCTGCTGTTCACAGCTCCTCCAAAAATTCAGACAGTGCTCCACGGCGTATACCCCATCCCCTCCCGGGTACTGCTGGAGTGCTTCACTATCCTTAAAGTATTCCTTCTGCCCTACCCTGACCCTGCTGTGGGACAGCAAGATCCCTTCTTCCCAAAACGGGTGGGTACCAGGCTTGCCCCACAGCACCTCGACGCCCTGCATGTGTCTGCGGCATGGAAAAGCATCCCTGAGGCAGCTTCAGCCAGCATCTTTCTGGGCAAAACCGTGGCAAGCCGTGGGCTTTAGGGGCAAAGCAGACAGAATCATAGAATCACAGAATGGTTTGGGTTGGAAGGGACCTTAAAGACCATCCAGTTCCAACCCCCCTGCCATGGGCAGGGACACCTTCCACTAGACCAGGTTGCTCCAAGCTTCATCCAGCCTGGCCTTGGACACTTCCAGGGATGGGGCATCCACAGCTTCTCTGGGCAACTTGTCCCAGTGACAGGGTCACCACAGCCAGGTCCCTCTGCTACCAGTGCCCATGTCAGCACGTGGCGGTGCCACACATCCCCACAGCAGTGCGCAGCCACAGTCACGCAAGCAGGACACAGCGCCCAGCTCAGCACCCCCCACGCCGACTTCAAGGCCAACATCTGCCTCCACTGCCCTCTGTGGCAAAGGGGCAGAGGGGAAAACGTCCCTAATGCAGCACGGGGCAGCTGTCCCCAGCAGTAAGCTTTGGGTACAGCACCTACGGATGCCTCCAGGAGCAGGCTCTTCCCACGGCTTTCCACTTCCTTTGAGGAGATCGTTCCACCCTCAGCATAGCCTCGACTTTCAGGAAGGTGCCAGCGATGTTCAGGTTACAGCTTCCCCTCTGTAATTTCACCCCGTCACTCGTAATCCTGCAGCTGTACTCAGGGAGGGCAGAACTGGCTCACCGATCTCTCCCCACCTGCCACCCTTCTCCGGCACGCGAAAGCCGTAAGCCCCTGCCATCCCCCCGCGTAGCTCCATCCCTTCGACCCGCTGCTAAATCATCGCACTCCTCCACCCTTGAGCTCCTTGAGTCTGCCTTGCAGACGCAGAGCTGGTGTTCAACCTCCCTCCCTGCCTTCCTCGCCATGCCCCAGCCCCCGGGGAAAGGGACTCCCCAGCTCACCCCCTCAGCTGCCCGCTGAAACGGCCTCCTTCGCCCTCCCGGGGTCAGTAGGCAAATAAATAACGCACAGCCGTTACAGCTTGCTCTCCATATATCTTCAAGGGCCGAAATAATTTGGTAATCAATTAGGGTGGCCACCGAACTCATTAAATTCCTTAATGCAACCAGAGCACTGAAACAGCAGCAGCCCGGGCTGCACACACGTCCCTGCGCAAAACAGCGGCTCGTGGAGCGCCAAGGCTTTGCCAGGGGAAGCTTGAGAGAGGGATGTATCGGGGGGGGGCAGGAAGCAGCTGAGAAACCAAGAGCCCAGAAAAGCTGGGGAGAAGGTGGCAAGGAGACAGGGAAGCATCCAGAATTGCTGAGGAAGGCTAAGTGCTGGCTGGGCCAGTTTGGGCTACGAGGAATGGCTGAGCCTTCTGCTTGATTTGTGCCGCACTCGGAGGAGCGGGACTTTCTACACCCTTCGTGCAGACTGAACGGCACCAAGGAAAGATGCGCTTCACCGCCAGCTTCTCCCGCCAATGGAGATGAACAGCCACCAAGATCGAAAAAGATTAGCAGTATCTTCAAACTCTGGGTGGCCCAGCAACAGGAAGGGTTTGTGCAGAGTGGGGATAGCACGATGGCTTTGCTCGTGGAGCTCCGCTGCTCGACGTGATGCTGTCAGGACTGTGGGGTGGGGAAGGAGACCAGCTCTCCTGCTCGCTCCCGCTGACAGTGAACAGCATGTTCAGGATGAGACCACGTGCTGCTGCCTGTACCATGCCACAGGGCATCCGTGCTCTGTCTTGTCCACACTCCAAGCAGGACCGTCTCCACCAACACTGGGTGCGATGGAGAGAGCTGCGGTATCCCTGGCATTGCTCGTTTGCCCTGTGCTGCTCCTTCAGGCTTGTACCCTCCTGACCCTTAGGTGGCCGTCAGCTCAGAGCCTGGTCCTGAAGGCGCCCGACCCCGTTGCTCCAGCTCAGCGGAACTCTCCCGGCAGAAGAGGGAAGCCCTTACCTGTTCTTGCGGAAGCGAATTGTGAAGACAAGAAAGAAGAGCGCTAGCAGGACTCCTCCAGTCAGGAATGTCCACACGACTCCCAGGAGGGCAGCAGAGAAGGATGGGGAGCTCTTCCCACTGCGGTCAGAAGATGTCTGGGGGAGGCAAAAGGGATGAGGAGGAAGAGGACGTTGCTGGCACGGTCACTGCCATGGGTGCTCCTGCTCCGCCCGAAAGGACTCAAACTCACATCTCCCAAACCCTCCTCATGTGCAGACACCCTGGCGCTAGACCAAGCCCCGCGGGCTGGGCTGAGGAGACGTGTGTAGGCAGGACACGCTGAAGGGAGGGCAGTGCTGGACCCCTCTTCCTATGGCCAACTGGCTAAATGCGGAATGAAGTGACTTGTAAACCTCAGGCAGCCCTGGTCGAGGGAGAAAGGAAAATAGGTGACGGTTCCCCATGGTCCTTCTATGGAAGGAAACCTCTGGGGAAAGACCTCATGGCACCCCAGCTTGCAGCACGCAGCTTTGGAAAGTTGGGTGGAGCACGCTCGGCTCCCACCCTCACCCTTACCTGGAGCAGGTAACAGGCTGGCGTGACTGGGAGCCAGCAGCAGGGCTGCCCCTCGGTGCAGAAAACAGAAAAGGGAGTGGGACGGCGTGTGTCAGACGCGTGACGCAGTGACACGCCAGGCCGGGCTCCACCCGTCTCCCAGCCGGCTGGAAACTGGCTTGGTCCTAGGGAGCATCAGCTGGGAACTGGCTTTTGAGGGACACTCGCAAGCGGGCACGATGGAGGCACTTCTCCCTGGCCTTAGACCTCCATTTAAAAATATTCTCTGCTATCTCCCGATTAACATGGAGTGGATAAAATGATCCCACGTGAAACAAGAAACCTGTTTCTGTTGCGGATCTAACATACTCCAGTGTTTTTAACAGGCTGTGCATGTGTGGGTTCGCTCATACATACTTTGTGTGCATGTTACTGTCATCTTTTTTATTCTTTTTCCTTGAAAAAAAGCGTTACTTTTACTTAACTGCTGGCACATCCCCTTTAAGGGGAAGGAGGAGGATGAGGACTGAGCCGGAATCACACACCTCCTCGCTAACTTCTCCTGTGCCAAGTCCTTTCTCAGGCATTCCAGTTCACCTACACGCAGTTTCTACGGCAGAAGACTATTTTCCCAACAGCTGCCGCTGCCCAAACTCCCAATCCTTCCTTCAAGGGGCTGCTTCTGCTCCCAGCCTTGCTAGAAATAAATCTGCAGGGAGAAGTAAGGCAGTTGTTTCGAGTCGATGCCTCGCCTCCCTCTTCCCAGCCTGGCTCCGCATCTTCCGAGCTAGGAAGAACAAGGCACAGCTCGGAGAAATAAAGCTGAGTAGTAGTGCTGAGAACAAAACGGTGTCACCGCCACGCCAGCACGGCTGATCCGCAGGCTCCTGCCAGCTCACGCGCTGGTGCCACGCTGGTCGCGGAGGCACTGCTGCGCTGCGCTGGGGTACAGCCTCCCGCGCGCTCAGCCCCGCTGTGCAGCGGCGTGGAGGGATCCCTGGGGAGATACCCATCTCTCTCCTGCAAACTGCTCCCCGCCTCCTCCTCCCTCTCCCCATCTCCCGGAAGGTCTTTTGGCTCTCTGGGTGGAGATGGTCAGGGAGGTCAGTCCCCCTCCCCTCGCACCGACGCTTGCTCGCTGGGCAGCACCCCCATCGTTCGCATGAATCGGGGCCATCTTCCCACCTCCTGGAGCTCAGAGGGGCCGACGGGGCTGCTCGGGGCCGGTATGAGGCTGTAACGCCATCCTGTTTCTGTGTCCTGCCTGGTCGAGCCTGAGGGTTTTACACCTGGCTTTTGCCAGAAGGGTGGATGCAGCATCCCGGGACTCCCACGCAGGGATCCCACACTTCACCTCCCAGCTGTGCCCCCCAGCAGTATCTTCCCACCTCCGGCTGCTGCCCAAAGCGTTCCTGCCTTTTTTTACCCAGGGATCACAAACACCCCTGTGGTCTCCACCTTTCCCTTCCCAACACACCCCCCAACGGCGGTTTCCCTGGATGTTGATGCTACTTGAAGCCGATGGAGCGCATCGTTTGCCGCTGAGCGGAGTAAATCCTGGCCCTAGCAGGGGGAATATTAATTGTAAGGCAGCTGCCAGAGCCAGAGGAGCCAAGCAGCTTACAGTCTGCTAATTAAAGGCCCGTGGTCGTGCAGGACGTGGTGGAGAGCCGAGCGGGTCAAGCCTCGCCGGCACATCCAGCAGCCTCACACGCAGCCAACTGCAACTACGCACCCGTCTGTCATTTCTACTGCCTCGGTGGTGGGGGGAGAGGTACCGTTTATTATAGATGATGACTTTTAATTAAATCCTGCTCTATTCATATTTGAAAAACCACTTTGAAGTTCCAGGGGATGGGAAAGGTCATGGGCAGAGGAGACCATCCCAGGCCACTCCTAAGCGACTGTCATGCCAGCCGACAGGCGGGAGGGCTGTTTGACTGTCGTGCCTGCTTCCTCACCTTCTGCCTAACTGCTGGGTGTCATCTAGGCAGGGCTTGTCTTGGAGGCCATCCCAAGAGGTGACGGCGCACAGCCTCCGGCTGGGCCAGAATTGCTTGGTGGCTGTGCCCCTGTGCCCCCCTTTCCATCCCTCCACCCAAGTCCACTCCTGCAGAGCCAACCTTATGCCCCAGAGGGCTCCCCCATCTCCGTACGTACCACTGTGACAGTGCAGAGCTCCTGCAGCACCCGCTGCTGCTGCTCCTGGCTGCCAAAACCGGAGCTGCCATCACAGAGCTCAGAGCAGTTGAATCCTGGCTCCATAGCACATCCTCAGCCGTCATCCAGCCGTACTTCTGCCCCTGCCAGAAGGACGAAGGTCGGCTTTCTCCAGCAAGAAGAAGCCTTTGGCACAGGCCAGATCAGCAGGGTGCAGGGAAGGGGTCTGGCAGCCCGAGGCTGAGCTTACCCAAAGCAAGGCGGTGCACATCCAGAGCCAGGATGGGGAGCGCCCACCTCCTGGCGTCCCTCAGGTTGTCCTCTGCGGCAAGGTGAGTCAGCACAGGGTCCCCGCCGAGCACGGTGGCATCCCGAGCCCCGCTACGCCACTCTGCAAACCAACATACACCAGGGTCACAGCGGCCCCTGGCCCCTACACCTCAGTGGCAGAGCCAGGCGCCGTGCCAATCTGAGCCGGAGTGTGGCACCCTGACACCCCGAGCTCGCTGCAGCTTTCCTCCGCCAACGTGTTTTCCCACACTGGTGCGATTTCAGGGCACACCTCTGCAGCCCCCCCCAGACTCCATCAGCCAGTGCCAGTGAACTGGAGCGGTCCCTTCTTCCAGCAAAGTGATGACAACAACAGTCACAAGCGTTGCCATCGCCTAACGGGATCCAGAGCCCGGCCTGGGCGAGCCAGGGGTGAATGACACGGGTACCAAAGTGTGGCCCGAGCGGCAGCCTGGCTAGCTGAGGAGGGGGCTGGTTATTAAGGAGATCTAGAAGCCCAGCATCTCTGTGCTCCCCATCCCTCCTGGCACACTGGCTGCCAGGTATTGCCCCCGCCTGCGCCCGCTCCCCTCACACCACCTTTGCCTCCGTTCCCTCTTTCATCTCTTTTTGGTGGGGATTTTAATAGGCCTCATTACCATTTTAGACATGAGGTCATACTTATCCTCCAGCATCCTTACTCAATTACCATTGTCACCGGTCTTAATTAGCTTCCAGCGCACGACCACGGGCAAGTCTCCCGCCATTAGCAGCTGGGGTGGAAGTGCAATGGCCCGCTCCCTATTTGCTCCTAACAACAGGTGGGAGGAAAAAAATTATCTGTATCGTGGTCCTCTGGGCTGCTCCCTGGCTGAGCATCCCCTGCGCTCACACCCTGTGCCTCGTCCTACCCCACGCTACTCTCGACACTGATCCCCTCCCAAGTCCTTTCTTTGGGAAAACTCCCATCATCGTGCAAGCAAAGAAAGAAAGTGAAAATGAAGCATGGTCACCAGGATCTGGCCTGAAACGTGCTGTTCTTCACCAGGGACAATCAGGCTTCAGATGCCAGAAAAGCTACGGGTGTCGTTCTCAGCTTGTGTAAACAGATTTTCAGCTTTAGAGAAGTTCCTTATGAGTCCCAGCTCCAAAACGTCAGGGTCAGTGGGTCACTCGTCCAAAACTAGCAGTGCCACCTCTGAAACAACGACCGCAACTCTGGGGCTGGTAGAAGCCCCAACGTACCGTGGGTCTGGCCCTCCTGCCCCCAGCGCCGATCAGCTCGCTGCATCCTACAAACTCGTTATCTATCACTCATTAGACAGGCTGACGGTGTTACCCGCGTGAGAGAGGCTTTTCCTGAGGGCTGGGGCCAGCCCGCTCAGCCAAGCTTCCCTGCAGCACACTATGGTGGCATTTGCCCCCCCGCAGGACCACCCTCTGCAGGTGTCCCTGCCCCTCATCGCTCCAGCTGAGCCGTCGGACAAGGGCTGCAGGAGACAGCCGGCTGCTGCAGCGAGCACCAGGGAGTGCAACAAGGGTAGAAGGGCAGTGGGGAGGAGGAGACAGGCTCCAGTTCAGGGATAACACAGGTAAATAAGATGCCCAGGCATGGGGGCAGGAGTGAGAGCAGCTGTGAACCTGTAACGCTGAGAAGACCTGCAGGCGAGTGCTGCCCAGCCTCCCAAAGGGTTTGACTCCCCCCCATGCCCCCAGGGGGGTTTAAGGACAAGGGGTCCCCCTATACCCCCTGCAACCCCTGCCATGTCAGCGGGGGAGCCCCCCTGCCAGCTGGACCACTGCTAAGGCTGGCGTGAGGCCAGCCGGCGCAACCCCACGGTGGCTCACAAACGGAGATGTTGCCATAGGGAGCATCAGTTCAGCCCCTGTCCCCCCCAGGAAGCCACCCCCTTGGCTCCATGGGGTTTCCCCAGCCCCCATCCCACTATTACGCAAATGGCTCCCGCACAACGCTGATAAGCCAAGGCCAATTAGCACTCATTAGTATGCAACGAAGCAAGCTCCAGTGCGGTTGTCGCCAAAAGGCAACAAGCATTTCCAGCCCGGCCCATGCTGCTTGTGGGAGCCAGCCGGAATGCTGCTCCCTGGCCTGGAGAGCATCTGAGGGGGACCGGTGCTGTGAGGCTGCTCACTGACCTTCAGGGTGAGGTTAGGTGAGACAGACGGCAACACAGGTAAGAAAACACATCCTTAAGATGCAAGGGTCTCCTGAGGGCAGAGACTTATGGGGGGTTTGGGGGTTTTTTAAGGCCAAAAAGCCCCAAAATTCTGGTGGATTACTTCAGGAGAAGAATCAC